TGGGTATACCTTAAGGAATATATTTACCTATAAGGAATATAGGTTGAAGCGTAAATAGGAGAGGTTTTTAATCTCCGGCAATGCCATGCAGATGAAGTAATATTTTAAATTTGGAGGCGGGAGTGGGCGTGGGCGTGACCGGATGGCTTATGGCAGGATCTTCGGAGGAGGTCTTCGCTTGATTCTTAAATAAACCGAATGTGCTAAAAAGCACCTCAAATTGTCAATTGGCGCCGCAAAAGTGTAATAAAAATCAAACTCTATCCCAAATTTGTCATATCCTTTATGTTTCCTGCGAATTTACTGCACTTCCGTGCTGTGTGACCCAATCAACTTTTCCATCGCCAATGCTCAAATCAGAAAACGAAAGCCTGAAGAAATTGCCCAAGTCAGACATTTTTAGACATGACTGCAATCAGCGCTACACTTACTCGGACCAAAATCAGCAACATTTACTACATTTACTACATATGTATGCTGGAATTTATTCAAGTACTTTTCTATGCTTATTGTGATATTACGTACTATCAGATAATTATGTATATTATGCAACTCAAAAACTCTGCCGCTTAGTCCTACTATCCAAAGATTGGAGTTCCTAACTTGAAATATCGATTAATGTTTACCCAACTCGTATAAAGTGTATTTCTTTAATAGAATATTGTTAAGTTGGTTGCATCCCATTGCAAGATTCATAGTTGTTTCCATATATGTATCTATTTTCTGAATTCGGTTCGAATGTTTTTGATTTCGAATTTAGCCTCATTTCACCCCCAAGGGCGATCGAAGAAAAGGTATTTGCTTTTAAAATTGAGCTTAATTCAAAAGTAGATATTGGATCTTACACTTTGATCTCATGTATTGTGATATGTGTATGAACGAACATCTTAGAAGGCAGAAATCAAAACAATATAAAATGTGACTATGCAACTGCCTTCTAACATTCCTGACCAACTTTTAAAGATTATTATCTTTAAGTGCAGAAGCCTTTCCGAAAGTGTAAATAATTGTGTTTATCAAGGGAATAGACAAGTCAATGTAGATACTCAATACGTTCAATACTTAAGTCTATTTGCAAGTGCTCTTTCGATTCCCTAAGATTTAAATCCAGTAGGAATGTTACAATCAGGTGGAAACAGGTGAAAACTGCATTATAGTTTTAAATATTTATTTTCAAAATGGTTTGATTTGCCATGCTTCCAGTGGGTGTGTTTCAAATCGATCTTTATACGTAGATCTCATCAATTATATTTGATCAACAATTGCTCAATCTAGCTATAAAACTGGGGACGACATAGCCATATTATCTTGAACATTTCTCTGTATCGGGTAAACACGATTATATTCTCCTATTAAAGTGCGTTCAAATAAACAGACGGACGGGCATTGCGCGAGCCCTATATATAATGATGATAATGATAATAATAATAATGCTTAACATAATTTTATGGAGAGAGACTGTCAATGGTGTCTGAAGTTTGCTAAGAGTCGCCCAACTTTTCTGATAGAGGTTGCTAAGAGTCGCCCAACTTTTCTGATAGAGGTTAGGATCATTGCTCTTGCAAAGTTACTACCTCTTAACTTTGTGAACTAATATAGATCTGTTTCTCTCAAATGATATTTATCAAAAACAATATTTTCCTCAACTTTGTCTTAGAGATCTTGAATTTCAATTGCGGTTAGTTTCAGATTTTGAGCCCACACAAGCAATTGGCTTAACGAATCTGCGAGGGTACATTATCTTCGGTATATCCACAATAATTAACTTATGCAAACAGAGATATTCAAATATGTGTGCATAGCAAAACTTGGTACACAAGTAAAATAAGTAGTATGCACACTTGCCGCCTCTATTTTTAAGACCTCTCTCACATTTTTCCTTGAACTAAGCCCGGGCTATGGCTACGTTCCATTGTATATCGTTTGAAGGCCTAAATAATATCAAATCAAAAGACACACTCTATGCAACTGGCTTCTACTTTTGATTGTTGAGGCTGTCGCTAGTCGCTGCGGCTTTTGCGCTTTTTTTGTTATTCAATTAAATTTATGACATAGGGGGAGATAATGCACAGACTTACGAATACATTTGTAAACATTACATACCTATTAACACTTTTACTATTCGCTTGTAATGACAACCAACAAGCAAGTGTCAAGTTAAAGAGAATTGAGCTTTAATAAATTTTAATTGTTGCGCATTGGAAATTTTTGCAATCGACTTTGCCATATGAGAGGCCCCATAAAGCAATAGACCAAATAAACGTCGACATTTGTATGCAAGTAAACAGAGTTAGGTTAGGTAACCTAACCTAAGTAAACAAAACACAGTTGCATTTTTTTCTTCTGTTTAATTGCTTAATTTAATTTGCATGAACAAAAATAAAAAAAAAATAAAACTAACAAAAACTTACCTCAGTTCTTTTGTTCAGGCGTAGCAATGTGTTTCGCAAGTACTATGTATGTATAGGCAACACACACACATAGGCATACGTACATATGTATGTATATGTTTCCAATTTTTATTAATTTTTGTTGTTGTTGTTGTTGTTGTTTTTTAACACTTCACTGGCTATTTTCGTGTTTCAGAACACGGCTGGCAAACTTTTAGAATGGTTAATCAATGGCGATTGCCCCGTTGGTTTCAAAATAGTTTTGTTGTTATTAATTATTATGGCTCTTTTGTGCACCTCAGCATAACAGAACGGCACGAATGCGTCATTTATATTTCCACAGCGATTTTGAACGCACTTGTTTATGTTTGGCGGCTGATGTTGCTGTTGCTGTTGCTGCGGCTACTGCTGCTGCGACGGGCAAAAATGTTCGCAAAAAACTCGAAACTCGACTTTACAATGAACGACTGCAGCTCTGCTGCCAAAAAGCTCCCCAGAACTTTTCTGCCCAGCTGGTTTGAACTCCGTTAGACGACTGAAGCGCCAAGCGCCAAACCACAATTTTATAAGCGCCCTGTGTAGCCGAAGCTCAGCTTCGTGTCTATTGCTATGCGCATGTGCTGAATTTCAGACAGAAATATAAACACAAAGCAGCTGGTTCTCGTTCTACTGAGCTGGCGGTCGCTCAGCTGTTTTTGGCAAAAGCCGGCAACAACAAGAGCCGAGTCTGAAACCTGAGTCTCGGTGTAAGGCAATGGCTGGTTGGGCGGACTAGTTGGCTAACTGAGCGATGCAAATATTGAAGTTCAACTGCAATGGCAGATCTCAGTTATGGATACTTAATTCTTTTTGCAGAATCAATGCGCTAAATAGCAAAAAAATTTGACGCAGGCGAGCATTCTCAACATGACTATACCCCGTTTTTAAGGGTATGTGTAAGCATGCCGATTGGCATTTTTACAGAAGCTTTATAGGAGACAAACTAATTCGGCCCTCGCTATATTTTAAAATTTTAAATATGTAATTCAATTGACTTTCCGATAGCTGTTTCTAATATACTGAGCTTAATAGAACGCAATAAAGTTGTAAATCAACGCTAACCTGCTTCTCTAATGATGTGTACAGAACTGATTTATTTACATTTAAAGGTCTAGGAAATTAACAGTGTTCAAAAAAGAGAGAAGCTGTTTCACGTGTGTGTGTGTGTGTGCTTATGCCATTTAACATTTGCTGAAGATCGTTAGCATAAGCTTAACATAATCTGTTAATGTACATTTAAAAAGTTTTTATGATTTGAAGGGGTATTATGAGGTCGGTTTTACCTGTCTGCAAGTGTTTTAAATTTATAGTTCAAAAATGTTGTATAAACATAATGCATTTTTTTGTTTGTAAAATAACAAACAGACAAAAAGCTGCATTAAAAGTTTTTTGTTAACTGTTTGCATGTTAGTTTTTCGGATATCTAAACTAAATATTGCAGAAATCATTGGTACACTGTAAACACATGCATTGAAGTATAAGTTTTTATACATACATATTTATATATTTATGTATTTGCATTCTTTATTATTTACTTGTTTTTCGCTATATATTTAACATGAATTTTCTCTTAGCTTTTTTTGTGTATATATATGTATGTATGTGAATGCATGTATCCATATATGCACATACAGATATACCGTCTGTCTGAGCTGGCAAGTTTCTATACAAACAATTTTCGCAACAACAACAGCTTTCTGCGCAGTATCTAAACAGACCAAATAAAAAAAAAGGTAAAAAACTCGCCAAACTCGCTTTAATTAGACGTTATATATTCGCAAGTCCTGAACTTAAAACGAAGTATCTGTCTATATATTTACAATAAAAAATGTTTTGTTTTGAGTTTATTGAACCGCAATAATAATATAAATTTTTTGCAATTTTTGGTAATGCAAAATTGACGATTTGAAAACTCAGTTCAAAATACGTTTAATTGCTGTGTATACAAACGTTGATTAACATAACAATTTGTAGAGATACCTAATTGTGTATTTACTGATGCCTACATATATCTAAAGTTTGTGTGAGTTCTTGTAAGAATTAATCGTTACATTTGTATGCCATTAGCAAAGCATGTTCATTTTTTCAATGCCTAACTAATTGGTGATCAACGCACAGCCCAAACATTTTATTGCCATTTTTATACCCCACAAATATTATAAAGATCGGACAATAAACACCGAAAGTTTTAGAGAAACGGTTGTGTAAGGACAAGACCGACCAATTCAATAATTGATAAATCTATTTTCTTTTTAGAGGTACCTAGTCTATAAAAAAATATCGGTTTCATTATATACTATCATATTCCTTTTGCATAGTGTAAAGTATATATTAACGGACCTAGTGGTGTTATCCTTGTCAGTACATACAAGTGTGTGTTTCCAAACTGTTAAAAATTAACGGCTCACTCATATCTCTATTTACAAATTCGAAAGCACTGAGTGATATCGCATTACAGGCTTTGTCCGTAAGCAGAATCGTGGAGGGCGTTGCCAACTAGCGAAAAAGGCTGCCAGACTGTACAACTTCTAATATATAAATCATATGCGTGAATGCATGCATGTGTGCGTGTGCATAGGCACATGTGTGTCTTCGTATGTAAGGTATGTGCATGTAATTTACAGTTTAGCTTGTCAGTCGCATTTCCCTTTTTGAACGTAGTTTTATTGAACTCTTGTAATATTATTTTAAAAGAAAAGTATAATGGATCGCTATAATCGTGCCTGGAGAGGTAAATGAAAGCGATTTAGATCTATGAACATTAGCTCAAATCAAAACTTGCACCCAGATCCTAGGTCTCCACTGACGCCCCTAACGCCACTTACGACGCGGGTGTTCACTTTTGATAATACACCGTCGCCAACTAGGCCAAACTTGCGCAGGTCACAAAACGAAATAAAATTTCGAAGGCCTAAGCTTAACCATCTTACCGTGCCGCATCAAACAGTGGAAACAACACGAGGTTCAACCGGTGATTGGGGCCCAAAACACTTTTCGCAGGATTTTATGCGCATTCGATCTGTTTTTTCGCCATCCGCTCAGAGCACGGCGTCTCAAACTGGCACAACCACGCCCCGTTCCCAATCCAGTCAACAAACTGGCGGAACCGTTGCAGAAGCCCATTCAAAACGTCAGTTTAAGCGCAGCTCTCCGGTGGATCAGCCTACACTCAGTCCCCGTGTGAGTTCCCTGCTGAGTCGCACTGGAAATGAGCACTTGACCGAATTGTTTACACGTCAAGAAATTGATCTGCAAATACTCATACAGATGACATTGGAAGATCTGGAGTCTCTTGGCGTCCGAGGCGTTAAGGAATTGAAATTAGCTATTGATGTAATCAAATTCGCCAAAAAGTTCTTCTAGTTGTGTTTTTACGTTCATTACTGTACCCATTTTCATTACTGTACCCCATTTGCATTACTGTACCCCATTTTATATGTGTCCAATTAATTGATAAGAAATAATTGTTTTACGGAATATATATGTCGATCATTTGTGAAACCAATTTCAATTCAAAATGCATTATTCCTTATAAATCCAAGAAAACAAAACATACAGAGCCTGGAGAGCACGACATGGATTCATTTTGAGGGGAACGGGGACAGGTACCCAAAAAATTAAATATTCTGGATCTGTGTACACAAGCTCGTACTATGAGGCACTAGGGAGATTGACGCGTTCATACATACAGACGGACAGACAGACGAACTGACATGGCTAGATCGACTTAGCTTTTGATGCTGATCAGGAATAAATATATACTTTATGATGCTTCTGTCTGTTACACACATTTTCACAAGCTCATTGGGTTCGGGTATTAGAAATACTTGATCTATTCCCGAGCACAAAAAACCTATTGATATTTTTGTGCCTGAAATGTGTTGAAATTTGCAAATAAATCGAACATTGTTTGCAGTTTTTTATAAATATAAATAAATACTATTTATATTGTTGTTTATAACGTATAAGCAATGCCGCGGTCTAAAGTCCGCATTGTCGGCGACTGCGCTTGTTTATGTTTGTGTATAGAAGTGCGAATGTTTGTTACAGCAGCTGAAGCTAGGTAAAGGGTATCTCTAAGTCGGACACTGCCTGCTAAATCACTCTGGTAGCAACAAGAACATACATACCAAAGGTTCGACAACCTTCAGCACCCTTGAATAAAAGGATGTAAGGTATGTCTATCAACCTAACAGTCATTAGTATCTGGCCCACTTTTTCTATAATAGTCGAATTCTGAATGCTGCTCTATATATAAGAGATTTTGTACTGACCGACTAACTGACTGGAGGAATGATGACTTAGGCACAGACCTAACCTTAAAAACAACGAAGACAAAATTTTGACTGTTATTTTCCATTTGGGTCAGAGTAAACAGTAAATCTGGGCTTCGCTAATTACACACAGCTATATATCTGTGCTTTGCAAACGAGTCGTCGGACTAATAAGCGAGCAGTCGCCGGCTCAAATTCATCAGCAACTGTCAATTATTCTATTTGTTTATTTAATTTGTTATTATTCACAATGAAAAAAAGTAATAATAAAGAAAAATATATGTATAAATCAAAAGTGGGTGTTAAAAATAATAATTATAAATTATTTTGTTTTGACTGTTTTGTCAACTTCAATGCTGTCATATGAATTTTTGACAAGATCGAATTTGTCGATTGAGCATCGAACTTAGTTGGCTTAGCCCACTTGCAGTTTTAGCCTTGGGTTGCTTTGGCCCCGGGTTAATTCTTTAATATATGAGATTTATAGAACAACAAAATTAGGGCCATGGGAGGGGTGGGCAGGAGTACGCGCGATTGAATAGATGCATGGGCAAAATGTTACCATCCCAATTAAAACGCGCGCGTAAATAGTTGTGTTGGGAAATGCTAGAACAAATTTTACGGTAAAATAATTAGAAAATCTGCAGTCATACCGACTTTGTCCGATGTCTTCAAACAGAGCATCATGGGCGTGTAATTGTTGAATTTAGTTGGCATCTTAAATAGCAAAAAGGCTTTCAAGCAATAACACTATTTTGGCCAATTTCTATTGCAAGCAACTCGCAGTAACTGTGGCTTGATTGGCTTTTAGTTGCAGAGTACACTGTAACAACAGACTCATTGTTGTATTTCGACTTAACTGTTCATGGTATTTTTAGTATTTTTAACATTTTAACATTTTATTCTGCCTGTTGGCAGTATTTGTTTGAATATTTGCTTGTAATGCGTTTCAAATTGTATTAACTATTCATCAATATGAAGTAATCGAAAATATGAAATATGAAATACAAATTTAAGTGCTTTATTCGTTTACATACATCTTCAATTGGCACACCAGCTAAATAGATATTTTTCCAAATTAATTTGGCAAATTGGAATTCAATTGTAATTCAGTGTAAGGAAACCGATTTTTCGAACATTTGTTTTCAGGGGGCATTCATTATGGATACAAATAATGTTAGCTGAAAAAAATAATAATAAAACAGGATATACTCTGCTCTTAAGAAACTATAATATCAATTCTAGAAAATCATCTATTTACCCGTATAAACTGAGTTATATAATTTCGATAGTCCGATTATTAACTGTTAATTATCCGACCACCACAATTTAGTGTTGATAAATTTATTATAAACTCAGTCAAGAGCGATCCAACACTAGTACATACATAGCTTATTTTTAACATTTTTCGACGTGAGATGTGCATTTTCTATCATAGTTTGTGCTTAACCATGTAAAATTAAATTAGACATTAGTGTAGCATTATTAACAGTTAGTGCAAAGGTAACTAAAATGCGCTTGTGGATTATTCTAATAACAGCGAACATGTATACCAACACCTTCTATTGGCAAATGACAGCTGCTGCGCCTTTTGCAATTTTCTGTTGGTAGAGGTATAAAATTCTTGGATTGCGGAAAATATTTTAGTATATTGCAAAAATCAAATTGCACATACATATATGGATGAACATGTACATAAATTCACATGAAATATCCAATTGATTAGCATATATATGTACATATTTGCACATATGTACATGTACATTTATATGGCAACATCATTGCGTATGGCCGTATCAAAAAGCACAGGCTGCTAATTTGACATTTCGTTTTGTGTTCAACACCGTCTACTGTTGCAGAACTTAAAGGCGAAAATTAAAAAGAAAACTGAATTTATTGTGCGAAAACAAAAGAAATTTTAAATTCAATTTCGAATAATAAAGGAAAAAATGAGTATGTAGCACACAAGAAAAAAAAACACGCGTCCGGCTAAGGCTGTGAAAGCTACTTTGAGCTGTGCCTTTCATAAATGCATAAAACGACAATAATAAAACTAAACTAAAAAAGAAAAAAATAAATAAGAGCAAAAATTTAAAACCGTCGGCCCCAATAGACCGCACGCATGTATGCGTTTAATTTAACAGAAAGCAATCTGTGTGACTTTAGTGTAAATAATCCGAAACAACAACAGCAACAAACTGTCGGCTCTTATAAATAAAACAGTGAAAAACAAACAGAATATTCAAGAGAAAATACGCGAACACTCTTTAAAAACAAATTTATATCGTTATAGTTATGATTTCAAGTACATAATTTATATTTAGTTCTCAAATTTGGTGCAAAATTATCTTTGATGCATATATATATAATATGTACGTATATAGACTAAATACTTGTCTATCCAAATACATAATCATTGTATGCATTGTATTAATGAATATTGCACTTTCAGCAAAATACAGGTTCTGCCAAAAGGCACATTAGAGAAAAACTAAACTGATTCAATAGGTACAGCTGCCCCCTTTAATTTGACAGAGAATACCCCGCTCTGTCTGTTCCTTTATGCCTAAAGCTTAATAAATCTCATCATAAAAAAAAGAATGCATTTTGCCGAAATCAACTGAATGCCGAGCCACGCGCTCGACACTTGAGTTAAATTGGTGCTTGCAGCCATGCTGTAAAATATAAATTAAATATTCGTGTCTTTCTTTATTCATTTGCATTTGCGTTTTGTCCACTCTCTGACGAATTTGTATCTTTGCAGTAAACAGAAACTGTTGTACAAGTGTAAATTGTTAGCTTAAGGAAGTACCCATATATATACACACATAAACTGGGAATATTTATAAATTAGACGAGAACCCAAGGCACAGCTATACACAAAAAAAGCAGCAGGACGACTACCAGCTCGAAACATTCATCGAACTTAATCGAACGCGTTGAAAAGCCGACTGAAGGCTGCCTTCAATGGCCGCCGAAAAGGAGATGCAGGCGCACGACATGGTGCGACGACGGAGCTGGGCACGTGCTGTGGCGCTCTACGATCAAATACTCGCGGCGAGTGCGACGCCACAGCCGCAAGCACAGGTGCAGCCAAATGGGACAACGCGAGCACAAAAGGATCAGCAAATCGCATGCCTGCTGGGTCGCTGCGAGTGTCTGCTGGAGCTGGGCAGATACGAGGGCTGCCTGGCAGATGCATACAAAGTGCTGACACTGCTTGCGGAGCAGACTGAGTGCTTGGCCAGCGTGTCTCGAGCGCGTCGTTGGCTGGTGCACGCGCTTTTTAAGCTTCACAAGTACTCGGTGAGTAGCTAAACTAACATCCAATTAAAATGCTCCTTAATTGATTACACATTGTACATATGTTTAAATGCAGGATGCGGAACATTTTCTGAGCAAGTGGATAAACGAGTTAAGCGGGCAGCAAATTTTCTCGGACATATCGAAGACGCTCGAGCGATACAAGTCCATTATACAGATGATAATGAATGGACACAATAAGGTGCAAACGCAATCGCAAAAAATTCCGCATGCACGCCTCGAGGATGAGATGGCAATACTGGATACTAAGCTTGATCACTGGGCCACCAACAATCTGCCCCTGGATAAGTATAGCAAGCTGCTCAGCAACAAAGGGCTAAAAAAACGCGAGCAACAACAACAGCAGCAACAACAACAGCAGCAGCAGCAACAGCAGCAGAATAGTAGTGGTAGCTTCAGCAGCAGCAGCAGCAGCACTGGCAGCAGCAGCACTATGTCCAGCTCCAGCATGAGTGCCAAGAACATAGAGCTGCTGTCGGCCATTAAGCTGACTGGCGTGAAGCATTCACCAGTAGAACCTGTGCCGGATGCAGAGCAAGCAGCACACTCAACATCAACAATAACGTGCAGTTATTGTGCCATCAACTTCCAAACACGGAACGAGTTGAGGCAACATTGCCAGACTGAAAGCCACCAGAAAGTGATAATGAGCGATGAGGGTAAGTATTGCTTAGTGTGCTATTTGGTGTTTGTCGATTTAAACAATATATTTAATAGGTCGCGACTGGAAGTGGCGGCCTCCACCTCGGGGCTATACACTGGACACGTACAGTCTCTGCGAGGCGTTCGCGCGGACATGCCACTACGGAGCACAGTGTGTGGAGGCGCACGGCTTGGACGAGTTAAATGAGTGGAAGGAGCGCTTCGAGTATCGGCGAATGCGTGTGCAAAAGGCTTGTGAAAAGGA